CCATATCCCACAAATTCTGCACTTGTAACAAACGAGCTGTTACGAGCTGAGAATTAAAAGCGACAGTTTGATAATTAATTTTTCCTTCGATATAATTTCTGTACGCAATTTCGAATTCACACATTTAAAATATATACGATATATGTACATATACTCTAATAATTTAAATATTATGTTAATATATTCAATTCTTGGCTAAAAAATCAAATGCAAACAAGAAAGCATAACAAATTAATAATAATGTTTTTCTAATAACAGTAGTTAGTACTAACAATATAAAATAACAAAATGTTATTCTTTAATAATGACAATTCAATAAAAGTACAATCATCCCAAAATATGAAAGTAGGAACATATATAAGGACGTTATGGGACGATCCAATGAAAACGGTAACGCTTATACGCAGATAAATGACGATGGCGAGAATTGTCATCTGGAACGACTGGTTAACACATCGCGTCCCTGTCATCGATCCACGTCGTCCAATAATGCATCCAATAGACGAGATTTATATACCTGCGGTCCAGCCTTTTACCGATAGATTCACTATTTAAAATATAAATTTTTGGCTCCATTGAATGCTTTACTACACAAAACGGTTCTCGCTAGGCAAACTAATTTATCATATGCTTTATATTGTTAATATTAATCTTATTATTTATTACTTATCTATATCTGAATATATTTATTTACATTACATATATATGAATATTAATATTTCTCTCTTATTATGTATTTATACAGTGATTCTAATTGTGTCTCATTACCATTAATCGTGCGCGGACCATTAATCATTCGATGCGAAAAATATTTGTAGCTCTATCTGACAACCGCTGTGAAATAATAATTCATCAGATACGAAGGTGAATACATTCGTACTCGATAAAAACTCACCGTTGAAACAAGGGCTACAAATTATTTACAACGCGGCGCGGATATCGTCACAAACTTTACGATTACCCGATGAAGCGTATAATCTGACTTTGTCGTTTTTATGGTGCGGTACTGTCTTTATGGGGTAAGGCAAGTGTTGTTAAGTGTCAGGTGGAACGCAAATTAGATCCTCACCTGCCCGTTGCATAAGTTTCGACGCCATGAACCAACCTGATAGCAATGTTTTTGATCAAAACAGAAAAACTAAAGGCATGTTTTTTTTATTACGTTAAAGAAAGAGAAAGATGCCAAATATATATTCCCGGACAGACATTACAGATCTTTTTTTAATATCCTTTATTCATAAAAGAATAAATAATTATAATTAAATTATCTATCTCTAAATATTAGAAAATTATTAGTAATAATAATAAATAATAAATATAATTATTAATNNCTAATTATTAAGGAAATAATAATTAATAATAATAAACAATTGTAAAAAAATTATTATAAAATTGCATCATCACAAAAGAATCTATATAAAATAATTCAATACATTAGTACGAGATCAAAGATTTGCTAAGAAAATAGGATGCATGAAAGTATTTTTAATTATTTATAGATCAACATTTCTTTTATTAATCGCTAGATGTGTATAAAATTTCAAAAATGTCATAATATAGCGCTTAATTAAATGATTCGTAATATCGCTCATATATTGTTTATATGTCACATATAGTGTCACTTCCAATTGATTCCCGAGATTTAATCAACGCCCAAGCAGCTTTCTGCTCTTGCATCTCGCGCGTATTACGTGCTACGTTAATTAGAATTCAATTAAAGTGCCGACACGCTCAGGATCAAGTATTACGCGTCGTTAATCTTAGATATTACAACGCGTTCAAGGATCGCGTCGATCTTATTTCGATCGAAGACACGCTGAGCATGTCAGCGAGATTCGTTTAAGCGCAATTTGTATTCGATTATTCCATCAGCTTATCTCGGCGATACCGAACTGATCGTAAAACGCGGTATTATGGAATTTATCTCGCAAGAAGTATCGTAATTAAAATATCGAACAATCACTATCCAACATTCAATACGACAACACAGCCATACAGCCATAGAGATATTCATCAAATATTCAGATATTTATTCGATATCTTATATCCGTAATATCTAGATGTTTCATATTTTTTAATATTGCTTTTTTCTGTCCTATGAGAATTTTTTCATGGCAGTTGCTTTATATGAATCATACAACATCGAATATTATTATATTTGTGATAAAAAAATTAAAAAAAAAATTATAACGTTATATAATGTACTTCTTTTTCCACTCAATAACTTTTTCCTATAAAACATGCTGTGATATGATAGCAAATAACGACAATGTCCAAAAGTCTGAATATTGCGGAATAATTTGATATATTGAATATTTGAGATATTTAAAAATAGATATGAAAGCACGGAGTGTGTGACGCTAATTCGCTTAATTAAACTATCGTTTTATTTGGGCCAATGGACGCGCTGTCTTGTTAATAATATACTATCTCCCGCATCTCACGAAGAGAGCGAATGCCGATCGTCAGGCATCCTCGGCGGTGTCGTGCTTAATTCGATCATCGATCGTCGGGCGTGGATTCCACGCGCGTTCGCGTTTAACATCTTACCTGAGAGGCCCCCGACGATCCCGCATCGAATCACGATCGATGGGATTGACGGCGATCTCTAGATCGCGAGAGCGCGGATAAAGGGGAAAGCGCGGGGGACGAGATCGAAAGACGACCGGTCGCGACCCGTCCGTGGCAGTGAGGCTTTAATTAAGGCAACATATAGCCACTAATATCCGACGGACAGTGTCAATCTGTCAAGCTACCATAAGACACCGATCTGATAGCGGGTCCTAGAGACCAGCACAGTCTATTGGACATGCTGTCTTCGATTTGGTTGTCGTGGCCAATCATCCGGAATTAATATATCGGACGGCTAGCTGTGCGAGCGAGCGAGCGAGCGAGCCACGCGGACAGCTTCACTTTTCGTCAAGTGTTCCAAGTTCAGGTTTACCTCATGGAGGAGGAGGAAAGAGAAAAGAAAAAAGTATTTGATTATGTATGAGAGTCAATCGATGGTCGTGATCGAGATGAAATTCGTTCATGCTTGTTTACCGATTCCCGCGACTCAATAAATGCATATTTGTTTATGCAAAACCGACAAAAAGGATATTCGTAAAAATACATTATAGTCTCGTGATAAAATTAGAAACGGAAATTAGCATCTCATTAGCGTCTTGCGCTAAATTTAAAAAATAGGCTTCTCGGACAAAAATAATAATAATAATAATGTATGCAGCTTTATTTCTCTGTGTGAAAAATGTTGCCATATTTTTATAAAAAAGCGTTTTAAAAAAACAATAAATTGAGAATATATATAAAAGTTTTAATTAATTCTTTACGAGTAATTAAAAGAAGATTGAATAAAATTATTTTATATTTCATGCAATAGTCAGATCAATCAAAGAAAAAAATAATGACATCTCTATAAATGGAAAACTTTATATAAATATATTTCTTCGTTAATTGTATATTTTATTTGTCAAGAACATCCTTTGAAAATATTGGGAGCTCACAAAATACATCACAGAATACTATCAAGATCACACGAATTATCACAAATAGCTTTGGTCAAAGTAAATTTTTCTCTTTATTATAGTACGCTAAGCATCTTTATTTTTGATGTAAATCGCTGACGACGAAACAAGCAAGTCATCAAGAATCAATTTGTTAACGGATGATAATGACATGAACACGGGTAAAGACATGAATGATCTATAATTGACATAGTTCCTTGGACTTTTATTTCCCAACATTCCCATCAGTACCATCGTTGGTAATGGCGATTATCATTATTATCATTATTATCATATTACTACACGCTGCTATTTGCTGTGACACCTTACAGTTTGATTTCATAGTTGTATACGTGTCGAAACGGTCCCAACATTAAAGACAGTAGTCATTATCTCTCTTTCCTAGCCACCAAAACTCTACATCTAAGAGATCTCCCATTAAGGTTAATTTAAAAATAATTACCACCTATTCACGCGCGCACGTCTGTAATGTATCCGGATGTAAGAATCAACGCAGAATAAACGTTACCGTTAGTAAAAAATATATATGTAAATGTTATATATCTTTTTTTTAATATTTTTCCCTCTTTTTCTTTCAATATTTTTATAACTTTTCTGTCATATATATCATTTTCGAAGAAACTAGATGTGAATATAATTGAAATATAAGTGAAAAATACAATATAAGAACCATAATGTTTAATAATATGCTATCTTTTTTTTTATCGAGTAATCGTCGATTATCCGTAATAATAACACGAAAATATCAAAGCTATTATGTGCATCGTGTTTTACGATCGTTAATACACTCGAATCGGTATAGAGTGGTCAACGTCAGGCTCCACACGCGGAAAGGTACCTTAAAGGCCTCGCACGTAGAAAGGTCCTTAAAGGTCCTAAAGAAGTAGCCCATTCTGGAGGTGTGCCGATCGGGTACCGGCATTTAATCGTAACGAATCGCCCTCAGGGCCCGTAGGGGAGTGTGTAATCGACATCCGGTTCGCCTAATGTCGAACGAGTAGCGCCCTGTAATCTGCCGCTAGTGTGTGCATTGTCGTGCGCAGGCCCCTTTCTCGCTCCTGAAAAGGGCTCCATGGGACCCAAAATTCTTTTCTCGGCGATAGGGCGAGGCCGGTGCCCGGAATAGAGCTCGACCTTGCGCCCATGACTCGCGAATAATACGACCGGATTCACGAATTATTACGGGATCGAGTATCTGATGTACGTAAAAGGATCTAAACCCGCGCGAATGTTTGGTTTGTTCCTTTCATTTATATGAACAAGAAGTAGTAATATTTAGTAAAACAAAGAAGAAAAATCTTGCTCTACTTTCATCGAGCAAGTCTAACTAAAAGATCGTGATTTCTCGAAAATAAATATAAAAGCTCGAATTTAATCAAACTATCTCTGGAATTAATTGCTTTTAGAATTCTGGGTTTGTAAATCTGTTAATTACAATTTTGCACCAGATTTGTATAATTCGACGAAACTTACCGCGGAGCAGCATCTTCTTGAGAGATCTTCTGATGGTTGTACAGTTCCACCTTCGGTTCCGGAATTGGTATTGACATTCCCTAGTACCTACTTGAACACCTTTCGCAATTTCTTTCAACAGGGATGGTTCCTTACGGCAAATGTCAGCGAGTTTCCCCTTCAGCCTCCGTGTTTTCTTGCAGACGAGCATCGGATCCATGACCAGTGTGCTTCCTACGGTCCTGTAAAAATAAACGCATTGGTGAAAATATGACAATTAACATATTAATATGTCGACAATTTTATTAACTAAAAATTAACCAAAAATCTAACTTTCATAAATATATATATACAAAATATATATATACCAAAAAAAACGAAGCAACTTCAACGTGAAAATTTCCGCTCAATACTCGAGGCGAATAGATCAATAGAACGTTAAATAGAACGATATAGATCGCGCAAAGTAGCGAAGAATTCAAAGCAATGTCATTTCCTTGAGACGCGACACGCGTTAAAGAGAGAGGAGAATAATTTACGAAAGCTACAAATCCCGTCGGCATGATGTCGGCCAAGCTACCGGTTATTTAGTCGCGCGATATCTTTCGGATCGCAATGTGGAAGGAGATGATTTTGCGCTCGCGCAAAATTAAGCGGAAAAATTCTTCGACGCCGTTCGCTTATTCGTTTCTCTTAGAGCTCGGTAGAGCTTCGGTAGCTCTATAACGGGCAAGTGTTGTGTCTCGTCGCAGCCCTGATCCTCGCAATTAACCGCATGCGTTTGGATCAGAATTTATTTCTCTTTAAGCGCATAACCACCGTGTCTCATAAATCAGTCAAAGCTTCGCCATTTGCGGAGAATTTTCATTTATTTTATTATTGCCTGAGAAATTTATCATTCCCGACATATTCCTTAATACTATTAACTTTTCACATCTGTTACGTGATTAATTAAATCTTGCATTCTAACGAATTATATAATAGATCAACAAATTAGCAAGAAAAACGCTCTATTCCTGTACATTTCTTTCGATTATGACTGCTTTTCCCTCCGTGATTAGATTTAATAGACATAATTTATTATGGTAACAATGAGTGAATTATAGCAATTGTATCAATGCCATGCAATTGCGGTCGACTACGAAAGTCGTTATTATTCTCGACTTTTTTTCTTTTGCATTCCAAATATAAATCAGACATCTTCAGGCATTATCCAGCGATAATAAACTAAACTTTATTACGGCGGTTAATGATTGAACGATCGTACGAAACAGTCAGAAAAAAGTGACGAAGAAAAATAGAGCAAAATCGTGATTGTATCCTGCGAAGTCGCGCCATAGTTCTTAACTAGAAGGAAAAAAACTCGGTGACAAAGGCAAGAAAAAAGGACGATTACGCTGCGACTAGTAGATACAATACTCGAATCTGAACACGCTAACGCCATTACGATAATTAAAGCTCCAGCGTATTATACTCGTGGCGACATAAACAATCATATGAATAAAAAAGAAAGAAAAGTAAGAGAAAAGAGAAACGTTTCCGAGGGAAAGGAAAGACGATCTAGAAACGGAAAGAACGAACGAATGTGCCGAGGGTGCGAAGAGGCAGGAGACGGCCGGATGATTGCACGGAGAATACAAAAAAAAAATGAAGAATAAAGCGGAATGGACTCCGAGTGAACACACGAGTGGTGGGAACTACGAAGTTGAGGAGGACGACGACTTGGAAGCAGAGGAGTACCAGGAGAAGAGAAATAGGAAGATGAGCGAGAAAGAAGCGCGGATGAGCACGAAGGCGGAAAGGTAAAGAGAGAAACGATTACGAGCGCAGGCAGGGTTAGAGAGGGAAGGGGAGAGAATGTAGAAGAAGAAAAAGAAAGAGGACAGTCTGGGCGACCTTCGTTACGAAACGTTAATTAAGATCATTAGTTCTGCGTCGGTAGGATGCCGGGGTGCGTACATACGACGGCCTCTCGGGAATGCAACGACCTTAATGGCAATAATTCCGTTAAGGACGGTTGCTCGCGCTGCCCGACGTGCCCCTCGCTCGTCCGCTTTTCGTTCTGCACGAACGTGGAATAAGAAGCGATGGAGATAATACGACGTGGAGAGTCGTGCACGAGAGTGACATCGTCATTTGGGCGAAGAGAATTGCTACCTCTGAGAATGGCGACTATAACCGAGAAACGACGACGACGACGATGACAAGAAGACGAGACGATACGCAAACGGAAATTCACGAGAAATTCCTCGATCCCGAAGAGCAATTTCGTGAGCGAGACAAAGAGACAGGAAGAGATGTAGGCAGAAAAGAGAAAGAAGAGAAAAACAAGTCTTTCTCTCTTTCTCTCCTTGGAGCAAAATATAGCGCATGTAATGTCTCGCGGGACGATCAGACCCACTGACAGATTACAAGCCGCAGGAACTTTGACTTGTCGATATTTCGGACCCCGGTTCCGATAGAGTCTGACGGGCGACAAGCGTCGAAGCTTCTTCACTATACTATGGAGATTCTCCGAAGGAAACGGTACCTTATTATCGTAATGAAAAACATTTGCGTATATAATATATTATCCTGTAAAATCATATGAGATGTTCATATAATATTCAACAATAAATATTGATTCAACAATGATATATTAATTCTCAACGTTGCTAATATATATACCTATATCTTCCTGCCCTCGAGTGCAATTTTAATTTTTCATCACGCAATTCGAAATGATTCATTTTTCCTTAACCTTCTATCTTATACGTATTTTCCAGCTCTCTTATTGTTAGATCACGACCAGCTGTTGCGAAGTCTTCTTGGAACTAACGCGTGTACTATTTCTCGACTCGGCATCAATCTACGCGAGAATGCAACGAAACCTCTAGACGCAATATAATGAATGAGCGACATAGATATAGCTCTTCTGAGAAAAGTCGCACTATACGCTCACATGCAAGAAGTTAAACATTGTATTAAATGTGGCTTATTACGATGGTATAGAGAAGTCTTGTGATGAATTTCATGGAAGTGGGCAAAAATGAAAATGTGGATATGCTTGCTGAGAAGATGAGGTAAACATTTACGCGCAGCTTTGCACACGTGGCTTGTTCAAATAAAGTTTTAGATTTCCACGTTTTGTGCAAATTTAAAAAAATATGGTTTACATTTAATTTCTGGTCATATAATAAATAATAAATATACTGATAGACAATTTGAAGTATAACATGCTGATAAGCTAGATCTCTAAATAATCTAATAAAACGATGTTCTTATTTAAATATTCTGCTGCGCGACTATAAACTATATGCTGCCATAAATTTTATAGTCACGCTATGACGTTACCAATCGATTGCAAGCTTTCTGTCGTTTTATTAAAATTAATTATAATTATATAATAATAATATTTCTTTAATTAAATTATACATATTATCAATTAATTTTATTAAAATTAATTAAAATAAAATTTGGCATTGCTTGGCAAAAATTCATCACGGTGTGTATTTCTCTACTTTTTTATTGGCTTTATTAATTTTCGATGATAGTTTTCGTCGGAATAATGTATGCCGCGAGTAAAGACGGAGGTAACCTCTAGACGAAGGTTTATTCGACCTTTCTGACTTCAAAGATTGTTTCCTAGTGGCCGCGCGCATCTCACCCTGGTTAGTCAAATAAACGACAGGACCGCTGATTATCGATACTAAAAGACCAATCCGCAGGAGCGGATAATAAAGTTACGACGTTATAGTAAACACGTCGTGTTTGACGAGCGCCGCGAACGTTTTACACCCGCGACTATTAATATCGCCAAAGGCAAGTTAATGGAAGTTAGAATAGTCAGGAGTTACGTTGCCATTCGTCTTCCGTCTGTGCCGATTGCGATTTTGTAACTTTCTACGGACTAATATTATTCGTTTTTATTTATACCAACGCTTTATTCATTTCATTTAAAATAATCATCAGAGATATATATATATATATAATAAATAATTTAAAAGAATTAACGATAATGAAAAAGAGAGAAAAGTATATAGAATAAAGCTAAAGATTAAGTAGAAAAAGAAATTAAATCTCAAAAAATCTTATGTTATCGAAAAGATAAATAAGCTAATTTGAGTAAAAATAAAAATATCGTAAGATCCAAAAAAAAATTATTTCTTTATTTATAAATAAAATTACTAACTCTCCTTTTTCCTACATAAAATATTTAATTATAAGAAAACATATAATGACTGCGTATGAATTTTCACATCAAGCAGCGCATTTCCAACAAGCATATTGCTAACTTATCTATAGCTCTCTAGATTACAATAGAAACAAAATCTAACATGCCGAATTTAAAAACGCAACGGGCTTAACAGTCCTGTCAATCGTATGCTTGCATCTCTTTTCTTAGGAAGCAATTCTCGCAAAAATATCGCGGAATCTGCTACGCTAGACGAAAAAAGGAGGGAAGACTCGGTTTAATCGACGACAATCGAGTCAGCGAAACGCCTGAGGGGTAGGAGAAGAAGACCCGACTAGAATCGAGGAGATGGGCCCCACCTCGCGTACGCGGAGGCAAGAAAAGAACTCGAGGATGGACACGTCGCGTCGCGAACGAAAAGCGTGGAGAGGCCGGTTAGAGCGGTCGACTTATTTATTGCCTCATTAGACGCCCTCACTTTGCTCGAAGGCAGCTCCACGCTGTCTGCTCGGATAGACAGTGACGAGAGAGCAACGTTGCTGGCCTCTTTCGGTCGACCGGCCGGTTTGCAGAACGAACAGCGAATGGAGGAGAAAGAAGGAGATTGGGAGAGAAAGAGAGAAACGTCTGCCATAGATGCGGGAAAAAGAAAAGGGATCGCTTCTCTCAGCGAATGAGTACGCTAAAAGAAGCAAGGGAACAAGAGAGAACGAGAAGACAAGTTGATAGGCTCACAGGTAGATTCCTCAAATATTTTGCACAATCGTGAATAAAAATTGGGACAGAAAGAAGGAAAAAATTAAAAATTTCATGATCAAGCAGTTTATCATTATTTCTTTAATTTTGTATGATATACTTAATGCAAGAAACTGGATGCTAGAAAAATTCTATTGCGACTTTCATCACTCAGTTATTTTAATATATACATATACAATGAATTAATGAAATAGAGATTAAAAGGAAAAATTTCTGCTTCAGAGGGTATGATTATATATAAAACAAGATTTAAAATAAGAATCATTTTCTCCCGTGCAAAGAAAAAAATAGATTGGATTCTGCATCGAGGGT